ATTAACAGAAAAACTCCAGTGCCTGGGAAGGCCCGCAAAAAGTCATCGTGTCAGCTGCTTTAATATATTGAATGCATTGTAGCTCTGAGCCAGGTATGTTGATTTATCTTTCCTCTAATTGTTAATCCCTCAGCTTCATTAAGGACACTGTCAGGAAAGCAAGTGGAGTTTTGGTTTTTGTTAGCTCCAAAAAGTAGATGGTTACATTCATAAATTAGTTTGATATCTTGTTAATGAAAATAATTATTTCATTTACTTATCATCAGAAATAAGGTATTCTATGTAAATGACCAGATATTCTAAATAAGTTTATTCAGGGAATGGGTTGTACCTTAGTGATAGAGCACTCGCTGGCACCTATGAGGCCTTGGGATTAGAACCCAGCCCTACCAAAAAAAAAAATTCCATTTATATAAGTGATAGGACACTGGTTGGTGCAGGCAGTATAATGGTAAAGGAGACCTGCCTTATCTCCTTGCCTCTTAATTAAGTGTGATGGAAGAGAGAGACAAACAGTTGCAAAATGTCATAAATGCAATGAGAGTAAATTCAATGTAGTACTAAAAAACCCTGACACATTTACCATGTGCCCAGCACTCTTTTTAAGGATCCCTATCTGTATATTAATTGAATTCTCACAACAATCCTCTGGAATGATGATGATGATGATGATTAATTGTTATTATTCCCACATTACAGAGGTGGGAACTGTCACTTGTAAAAACCCCTGTTAGTGAATAGCAGAGCCAGAATTTGAATAGGCAGTCTGACTTCTGAGTGCTGTGATGATGGGTACTGTGGGAGCATATAATTGGGGCACCAAATGTGTAAGAATTCAGGAATGTCAGTCAAAAGTAGGAGACATTAAGCTGAGATCTGAAGGACAAGTGGAAGTTAGCTGTATTGGGCTGGAGGGTTCCCAGACAGAAAAGCACTAACATAACCCAGAGATGTGAGAAAAAAAAAAAACTGAGCACACATGTTTTTATGTATATTTTTGAAAACAGTCATATTAAATAGGATTGATACTTGTAAACAGTTAGATCAGTTCCTGGTACATAATGAACATTCAAACCATTAGCTGCTACTTTTTACCAATGAAACTGGTTTCCTGTTCAGTTATTACTAAGGCATTATTTCACTGTACTCTTATTCCTGAGAACTTTTAACTTTTGTGACTGTTTCCCCCAGTGTTAAATGGGCCCATAGTGTCATCATCTTTTTACAGTATATGCCCCTGTTGTGCAGTTAGGGTCCTCTGTTTAGTAATAGATCCTCTTATAATGATAATCTCTCATACCTGACTGAATGTTCATTCTTACTTGAATTACATATGTGCCTGAGCTTATATACTCCCATCTGTCCTTTCCAATTTGCTACTTTCAGTCTGCTAAGTTTTAGAAAATTACATTACAATCCTCATTCAAACTAGAATAAAGACGTAAGGTTCTAGGTATTTGTGAAAATAGTTTCAGCAGCCACATGTGTATTTACATGTGCTTGGAAACAAGTCTGATCCCCAGAAAATGGAGTTTAAAAAAATTTATTTTAAAAGCTTAGGCATATATGTAGAAGGTCACCGGAAGTAAATAAATATTCCACAGTTTAGATTTTACTTCTTTTACATTATAAATATTATTTTAAAACTTTAGTTTTCTCTAAGGAAAAATTAATGTGATTTTCAGTACAGTACCACTTTTTTGATATCTAAAATTTACCAAAATCTATGAATACAAAATTTGGAAGTAATGTAACTCAAAGTGGTAAAAAAACATCATGAGATAAATTCTAAAAAGGTACGAATCAAAGTACTGAAATAGCATGGGGCCACTTAACATAAGAAATAGCCACAGGTATTAAATATTGCCTCTCTGAACCTAGATTTTAGCTACTTTTTAAGAGTAAGGAAGCAAAGTCTTAACTTTTCTCATACTAGAAACCCTGGTTTTCAAGAGAGTAGCAAAATAGACTTCTTTTTGGAATGCAGAGGTGAAAATGTCTTTACTCTGAGTTATGGTATGTTGTCATTCATGTAATAACTGAAACAAGAGTCTGTAGTGTATTTCTAATATTACAAAAATGTTGGGGGTTGGGGGTGTCGTTTGGTGGTAGAGCACTTGCCCAGCACATAAGAGGCACTGGGTTCAATCCTCAGCATCACATAAAAAAATAAATAAATAAGGGCTGGGGTTGTGGCTCAGTGGTAGAGTGCTTGCCTCGCATGCATGAGGCCCTGAGTTTGATCCTCAGCACCACATTTAAAAAAATAATTAAATAAAAAATAAAGATATTTTAAAAATAAATAAATACATAAAATAAAGTTACTAAACTGAAAGTTTAAAAAAAAAGTTGGGGCTGGGGTTGTGGTCAGTGGTATGCCAAGCACGTGTGTGAGGTAATCCTAGCACCATATAAAAATAAATAAAGTAAAGGTATTGTGTCTATCTACAACAACAACAAAAAATTCTTTTTTTTTTTAATGTTGTTTTACTGTTTCCTTTGGATCTTTAATACACTGGGTTCAATTAATTTTTTTTTTCCTTTCTTTTAAAAGGTCTGAAGAACTGTTGCCCAATTCAACAGTGCCAGCATTCCAACTTTGTTAAACCTACCAACATCTTATATGGACTTTCCTATAGTGGTACCCTTTAAGAGGCGGATGAAAGCTACTATATCAGTTTGCACATTCTAATCACTTTTCAGTATCACAAGAGAGATTTTTACTTATATAATAGTCCTAGAGAATGCAGCTGGTAAAACCAGAGGCTACATCCAGTATTACTGCTAAGAGACATTCTTCATCCACCAATGTTGTACATGTATGAAAATGGTGTACTGTATACTTTAACACACCCCATACTTTGTATTGGAGAGTACAATAATGTAAATCCTGAAAGCACCACTATTTTAGCATAATAAAAGAAAGTCCAAAGAGCTCCTATATAGACTACTCCAGATAAACTTTGCTTCTTTGATACTTGTAGCTTATTGTAATTTTTTTTTAAATCCAAGGTCATTATCATTGTATTGTATAAAATAAGCGCTTTGATTAACACAGCTATATAGTTTTTTTTTAATTTTTCAAAAACCTGTGGAGACAGTGATCTTGTCTTTAAAATATAGTCCTTTCAGTATGATGTCTTAGATTAAAGACGTTGCCTTTAATATCTGTTGGGAAGGAAATGTCCAGACTTTTCAAATCTCCTTATTATGTGTTTCCCTTTTTTGTTTACATAGGGAACAATGTTTGTAGTTGTGTGTACAGTGGGGGTCTACAACAAGAAGTGTATATTTTCAACAATTTTTTAATGATTTAACAATTTTTGTAAATCATTTTCAGGCTTCTGCAGCTGTAGATTCTCACTGTGAATCCCTTGCTTGCTCATGCATATGTGTATTTGCAATACCAAATATACAGGTTTAGTATTTTTGCCTGTTAGTGATTGTTTCACATGTGTAACGTTTTGGTTGAGATGTTAAATGGTGGACGAGTACTGTGGATGTGAATGTGGGAAGTAATTTTAATCATGTATAATTGGTCACAAGGCCTAATTTGCAGTAACTATTGCTGTTTTATTTAACAATGCCTTGTTGCTTTGTATGCATTAACGTTTGGGTGTAAAGATTGTGTGTCTATCCAACAGGGAGCCACAGTATTTAAATTGACCAACCTAATGTTACAACTACTTTGAGGTGGCCAAATGTAAACTAAAAGCCTTAATTAAAGTGGTGCAATTTTGTATAACTTAGCATCAGTAGTTCAATAAATTTGGATTGCCATGCAAGGGCTTGCATTATAATTACTTGCCACTTGAATGTGTTTTGTGTAATGTTTTAACAGTGCTAGTAAATAAATATGGGTTTACCTTCTTTTTAAATGTAATAGGTGTTATTTTACACATTGTGATTTCATAATTTAACGTGAGTAAACTAGACTAATTAATTCCAGAAAAAATGTGTGAAAGGACTGGGGTTGTGCTCAATGGCAGAGCACTTGCCTAGCACATGTGAGGCACTGGGTTCAATCCACAGCACCACGTAAAAAAAAAAAAAAAAAGGTATTACGTCCATCTACAACTAAAAATATTTTTTAAAAATTAGTGAATGATGGCAGGGTTTTTTTCTAGTATTTGAAGATTCACATAACCACCTTTTGAGCTTTTCTTTGAGAAAGAATTTTGTAAATCAAACAATATTAGTTATGAATAAATGCTTTTGGGTGAAGAAGGATTGAAAATACTTTGCATGCTAAACTGTGGATCCCCCCTCTCCCCCGCTATTGGTACTGGGGATTGAACTCAGGGGCACCTAACCATTGAGCCACATCCCCAGCCCTATTTTGTATTTTATTTAGAGGCAGGGTTTCACTGAGTTGCTTAGTGCCTTGCTTTTGATGAGACTGGCTTTGAACTTGTGATCCTCCGCCTCAGCCTCCTGAGCTGCTAGGATTACAGGTGTGTGCCATAGTGCCCAGCCGGATTTTTTAAATATAGAATGAAGTTATAATATACATAAAAATAAATAGATAATATAAAGTTATTGTGTCCATCTACAGCCCCCCCCAAAGAATGATTATAAAAATCTTTGAATGATATGGACTTGAGTACAACTTTGTTTTTAGAGATCTTTGTGCTATAAGTCAATTCTGTGGAATTTGTAAAAGGGCTTTTCAGTTTTTTCATAGTATTTACCAGCCACTGGAGTAATTAATTAGTAGTACCTTCTTATACACTAATCCCCTAAATACATGTTATTTGACTGGGACAGTAAAGGCTTTCATTTCAAAGAGACAAAGTCTTAACTTGCATATTTAACTCATAGAGTTTCATGTATGGAAAGGCCTAAAGAAAAAAACATGTTTTTGCAGAAGCTCCTACTTATGAGAGAGTGTTTTTATAACCTGGTTGGGGGGGGTGGATTAAGCCCCCAAAAGTAGGGCTGGAACACTAAAAATCCAATGAGGGTACCATCATTATTTCTGTTATCATTAGCAAATGTTTATTGTCTATCAATTATAGGCATGCACCACCATACCTGGCAACTACCACTTGATTTTATTGTGAACCTAGCTTATTATGAACCTAGTTTTATCTGATTTTCTTCAAGAATGACGTAGATGTGAATTATCCAAATTCAGCCTTTGGTTCAAAATGAAGAGCTTTTTCTAAAAACTATCACAAATCTTATAGGATTTTTATTTTTCTATTTATAGTGTTATAGTTTGGAATCCCTGTGAGCATTAGTTTCAGAAAAGGAAACTAATACTGCTAAACTTTGTAATGTGCAGTGTACAAGGCTAGGGGCAGAGAGAAGTAGGAAGGAGTAAGTGCCATTACTTATAAACTTAGTCTCTGCTGGTATGTTCAGTGAGTCATTGGTAGGACAAACCAGTAATAAATTATCAAATCTTAGTAACTTCTAACCATACAGTTCATGCTCTATTACTCATACTAAAGTGACTAGTATTAAAAAGTTGTACATTTTATTTTTAAAATACAAAAACTATTTTATTTATATTCCCAACTATTAGATACAATAGTTAATTAAGAGGTCAATGTTGATTCAGTATAATCCCTGAGGAAATCAACCAATAATGGAGAACTACAGGACTGCAGAAAATGCAGTGCAATCAGAAGGGTATGGTACAGAGTAGATAGTTAACAGGGACACTCTTCTGTACCAAATGGGAGTAATATAACTAAAGCAACAAATTTGACTGCTCTATGAATAATAGCCCAGGGAGGGTTGATGGTGGAGCAAGAGTTGGCCCAGTTTGGAAGCTATTTGGTCCGTAAGCTGTGGTGAGAGTGGAAATCCAAGAAACTGCAGAGGAATAACTAGGGAACTGGTTGATGGCGTAGATGCAGGGCTGGGGGGGGGCGGGGGAATGAGATGTCTAATAATAGCAGACACAAGAGTTTACCATCAATGGATATAATTAAAATAAAGAGGCTCTCAAGGAATTGTAGTTTTGAGTGCATCAAGAAAAGTTTGGGGTAGGATGAAGTTTAGATTAAGTAAAATATATTTTGATTTGTATTGGTAGCCAAATTTGAACAGTTGTCCCTTGAAGTTATTGATATAACAGGAAGCAACTGAAACTGAATAAAATTATTTTTATAAGAATTAAGCATAAAAAAAGAGAAAACCTGGCATAAGCAAGCCTTGAATGGGAAGAAAGGTTACACTTTAAAGGTATTCAATTACAAAGACAAGGGCAGAGAAGATAGCAAATAACTCTGTAGTAACTGAGAATTCTGTATCTTTAGCAAGCAGCAAGATACTATTGTTCCTTTCTACTCGATTATGTACTATAGGCCAGCAGCCATTTCATTCTCTATACATGTCATAATTTATACCTCTCAATGTACCTTATTAGTGGCGGATTGGCTTCTAAAGAGATAATAGGACAATTTTAGAAATGCCATTCCAGGGTGCTGGAGATACAGCTCAGTTGGTAGAGTGCTTGCCTCACATACACAAGGTCCTGGGTTCAATACTCAGCACCACCACCAAAAAAAAAAAGAAAGAAAATGCCATTCTCTAGTACCAAGTTTTTGTATATTCATGCCGCAACTAAATCAGTTTCACAGCCAGTGCTGCAATCCATTCAGATTCAGTTGCACCAAAGCCTTAAGTAATCTCAAATATATGTCATTGCAGTATGTCTCCACCTACTTTCTTAATAATATAGACATTTTTTCTCTCATTTTTCATAACTGATATTTCGGTACTTTACACAAAATGTTAGGAAGATAAATCCTTATTAACTGGATTCTCACATTGCTCTATTTCATATTATCTTCTGGGGGAAAAAGTATTTGTGTCCTAAACAGTATTTGTTAGTTTCTTATAGCTGATCTAACAAATTTGATGGTTTAAAGCATCAGAAATGTACCCAGTTCTGGAGGCCAAAATTTCAAAATCAGAAAGTTGTCATGGTTGCCTTCCCCCTAGAATTCTAGGAAAGAACCATTCCTTGGCATTACACCAACTCGCTCCTGTCTCTGCTCCATCCTCATATCTCTTTAATGTGTCTAATACCCCTCTTCCTTTCTCTTACAAGGCAGTTTAGAGCCTTTCTTGATTCTTCAGGATAATCTCACCTCAAGACCCTTAGCATACTTCCAAAGACCCTCTTTTCAAATGATGGAAACATTTTACAAGAGGGGACTGGGATGTGGACATAATCTTTGGGACACATTATCAGCCAACTCACATGGTGTTTACTAAATTAAAATTTAGCTTAAGAACTTGGAGTCTCCTAGAGAGCCCTTGAGGATGTGGCAAAGCCATAGGGGTAAACTTCAGAGATTTTTCTAAGGGAAATTTAGGATCAAATGAGATTTCAAGGAGTTATAAGAGGTCCAGTCTGAGCTAGTTCCACAATTTCAGAACCAGTATAGTAGCTATGGAGCTGTTAACCATTGTCATCCCCTTGGAATTACTTTTTACTTGTATTAGTATACATTCTCTCCATGTTTCATATTTTCATTGATAGCCAAACTCCTCCCTTCCACTGATTTTGATTTAAGGAGTAATATAAATTGTAAGCTTCATTTTGCTTTTTATTTTCAGACATGTCCAGAGGGTTTTACCCTCCACTTTACCTTCCCTCCATCTTTAATCAGATATATCTGATCCATATTAGAAGAAAACGTGTGCTTCTGAGACCAAATAATGATGTTTGTAAGATTTTGCTCTGCACTGAATTGATTGGTTTATTTACTGTTTCAGTATTCTTTTGAGAGAAATGGACAGAATTAAATGATAAAAACGAATCTGGTTGGGATGGAACACATTGAATATTTGAACAAGTTAGGAGTTTGAGAGTATTTATACACAACCAAGGTTAGGGCTGTAAATGGCTGTAAATGTAAATGGTGACCTTCCTCAGATAGTCCGTTTGTCCATTAATTGTTTTAAGTAATGGTATAGAAAGGTTGTAACCTTCTATGTGGTTTACATGTTTAAGATGTCGTCTTAGAGATCCTAAAAGCTGATCCAGTCATTCTCTATTGAAGCTATTATTTTAAAAGTTCTCACTTCTTTGTTCTTTCCTTTTAATTTTGACTTCAGTAAAGCATGACTTAGATCATAAGATTTCAACTGGATACTTTATTAGAGTATTGTATTAAGGCACTAATGCTTCCTGAAATTCTTGAGCTGAATCATTTGGCAGTTACTATTTAGCAAACATAATTTTTTGGAAACAGAGAATATTATTAGCCACTATCACATCACTAATTATATTCTGCCAATACTTTCAGAGAGAATGTCACCAAGGGAGGAAGTGGCATCCATTACCCTTTCCCCCATTCACTCTGAACCAGTGTAGGATGCTATCATGGTCAAAGCATTCTCACCTTGACAGGATGTGGCTAATGACAAAGCAGAATTAACAATTTGGTTGCTCTAGACCCTTGTTCAAGGGAGAGTAAACAGGACATATATCAGGATGACATCCAAACAGGGTGGGTATAGAATGCCAAGTATGTCAGCCCTGGAAAAACATTCTGCAGTGCCAACTCCTCTACCACTGTTAAAAGTGAGGCAGGTGCAAACTGTCCGTTTCCCCAAGGCTTTTTGGGTTAGTGTTTTATTCTTAGTACAAAACTCAGAGGAGCAATGGAATTAGACACAATTGGCTCAACTGCTTTACTTCACTTTTTAAAAGAAAGGCAGATTTGGGCTGGGGATGTGGCTCAAGCGGTAGCACGCTTGCCTGGCATGCGTGCAGCCCGGTTCGATCCTCAGCACCACATACAAACAAAGATGTGTCTGCCGAGAACTAAAAAACAAATATTAAAAATTCTCTCTCTCTCTCCTCTCTCACTCTCTCTTTAAAAAAAAAAAAAAAAAAGGCAAATTCCAGGAACCAA